ACCTCCGTATTAAACGTAACGTAATATAACAGGTTTACTGGTTTGATCAACTTCTATACGACATTTTGTTCAGTATCTCATATGCATATTTGAATGTTGTTGTTAATGGTTTTCGAATGCAGATGTTGTAGTTCAGGACTAAAAGTTTCAGTCGTGAGGTTTCTGAAGTAATCCAGTAGTAGTAACTTCGTGAACCTCTCCTAATTCATGCATGGTTTATAACGTTTGTCACGGTTGATATCTTCACGTGAATGCATCAGAAGACAAATCGGTCCGGTTACGATACAATCGCAGTTCAGGATACAAATATTGAAGGAACTATTTTCTCATGCCCAATGTGTACGAACTACCATGAAACGCGTGTGACGCTGGCGTTATGATCGCTTTGTTTCTGTCGAAAACTTCTAGAAATGTTACGTCCAAAATTGAAAAAAAAACAGATGTTAAATAAATTTATTGAACTACATCATACTTATCTCCCGCTTAATTTAAGAATGTCAACAGAAACAAATTAAGCTTCATGTTTACTCCATTCTTCTGACTAGTAGAAATACCAGAGGATGGCAGATATATGATTTGCAGCTCTTGATCATACCTCATAATCCGCTGAAGGATTTGTGGCGTTTTGAAGCAGGTCAAATGAACATTTTTCTAGTTTTAACCATCGGTTATGCTGGCCAACTTTCAGTGGGCAACAAGATTCTTCAGTCCTTCCTGTGTACCATTCTGTTCCAACTCTGAATTTTTAAAGCGAAGTTACCTTCTTCCGTCTGTCCTTTTATATACTGACATGTTTTAAACTGAAAACTTTTTGACAATCTTCGACTGCCAATGTAAGCTGATATTTCTCTAATTTGTTTGCTGTCTTAATCACCTTGAGGGGTTTCCGTCGGTAGAACATCTCTGACTTGAGATGCCCACTGTATTTGCAGCTTTTAAAAACTTCTTATTAGTTACCGGATACTGCCTCGCGGATGAGTTAATCACAAATTTTGACTTCGAAGTGTTAAGGAAGAGGTCGACTTTTGTAGCAGTGCCGCATGCATAAGCTGAAACGCGTCAGAGTCCGTTCTCCGTATTACTCACCACACCAAAAAAAATTTCACATGCATTTTCGGGGTATAGCCGAATATTTTGAATTGTGCCTTCCTTCTAGAGTGAGATCTCAGCCTTTGTGAGTCTCAGCGCCATTTCAGAGAAGAAAGTCGAGAACACTGTTGAATAGCAGACGAAAGTACATTCCCCGGCGGACTGCGCTGTTAATGGTAAAAAAGTTAACAGATTTCCGACTTTGACAGCAGACGTAGTTCGTGCATACATGTCTTCCACAATAAAAACGATGTGTACAGGTATCCCATGGAATTTTATGATTATCCACGTTGTTGGCTATATGCCATTCAAATGCAGCTTTAAAGTCGAGGAAACTGACAAAGCACGACAACTGAAATTGTCTGAATTGCTCAGTGTTACTACAAGAGTGAAAACGTGATCAGTGCAGGAGTTTTTGGAAGCTTACTTGCTTTGGGTTGTGTCTCGTTAACTACCTGCCTAAACCTTTCCAAAATAATCTAGGAAGAAAGTTGAAGTTTCCCTGGAGTCGACAGTGATAGCACGATAATCGGAACACTCGGTCGTTTGGCCTTCTTTGGACATAGGGACAATTACTTAACACTTCCATTTTTCCGGGAAACGGCCTATTTCCTAATAATGTAAATGGGTTAAAGTTTCTACCATTTTCGTTCCTCTGCACTCGATTAACTGCGGAGGGATTAGATCCACTCCACAGACTCTCTTCCTCTGAGTAATTTACAATGATGTGAATGCATTCAAATTGAATTGTAGAAGACTCCTGTTTCATCTGTCTTGTACTCATGTCGTAGGCATGTGAAAACGACATTTAATTCTCCATTATTTTGTTTATCGCTTCAGCACAACACAATAAGTTGAGTTCTGAATTACAGCGCTTGCCTGTTCGATTCGTTATTCGATTTATTTTCGCCTGCTGTCCGTTATCACTCGGGAAAGTACTTAAAAGTTTCTACTCACTCTAGTAGCATTTCATTTCTTGCAGAGTACACTGAATGACCTTGTCGAACTTGTCCAGCTGTTACATTCTCCGTGCTTGGGTTACGTCTACTGATCAAGTGCATAAAAATTACGATCAGGAAAAAAGACAGTATATACTCCTGGCAGAGACCACGCCTTGAAAGACATTGTAGTCCGGCGATTAATTCGGACACAGACTTTTGAGCACTTGTTTGCAACTAGTGAAATCGATCAACCCCTTATTCTAACAGCATGTTTCGTAGCTTTGAAAGAGGTATTCTGCCGTCAACCCTTTCCAAGTCTGTAAAGCTGTTATACACCTTCATGTATAAATAAAAATGCAACTGCTCTCTCGCTGAACATCTTCAGAGAGCATTTTCCCTGTTAATTGTAAAAAAGGAAGATTGTAAAAGAGGACAAAGAATTGTCCTCAGATAGATTTATCGCTACTTTACTTTTATGCAAAATTATTATTACTCGGTCAACATTTTGAGAAACAGTATGAACTGCCGATGGCTCGCGACTTTATGTTAAAGGCAGAAGCAGCCAGTAAAAGGTTAACATTTTAAAATTCAGATCTTCGTCACGAATTCGGCAGATGCATCATCTCACTTATGCATGCACCATGATCAGTAAACAACAGCGAGATCGCTTCAATGATGCATCAGTCATTGCAAAAATTTCCATGGCAATGCCAAACTGCCTTCATTATTATAAGGCTCCAAAGTACTCTGGTCCTTCAGAAACCATATTAGACAGGTACGATGGACCAATATAATGAGGTAGTACACCATGCAATGGAAGGCCCGTTTGGGTCCCAAACTGAATTTTTCCTGCGGCATATCTGCGTAGTAGAATATTACTCCAACAGTAAACCTGGGTGGATGGACTGAAGGCCAGAATCTGTATTCATTTGTGATGAGGGTCATATCTATATAGAGGGGGTTCCATGCACTGGAGTTCAGGTATAAAGGGTTCATTTAGAAAAGCAAGTAAGATTAATCAAGCAAATAAGATAAGATGTCTATAAGATGTCAAATAAGATGTCTATACACAGCGAAACAGCAAGACCAAGATGCACGGAAATACAATAACACCGTAGAGGCTTAAAACAGGTCTGCGGGATTTTATGCGATTTCTAGTTTATTTAGAGCCTAAGATTGTTTTTCATAGGTCATTTCCAAGCTCTTATCACCTATCAGAGTAGTGATTTCTGACCAACGTTAAGACAGTGACAGTTGCTTATAACAAATAATGTACGCTACCTCTTCTAACAGAATACAGTTTTGCATCTCAGCACATGCAGGTCAGCATAACTCTTAATTTGCTCATTGATACGCAAAACTGACATCCGTAGAGCTTATGATCCTCTTGACGGATTCAACCTTCGAATGTAAAGAAGGAATCAAGCATGCAGGAAGATGTGTACTTAATAATTAAGACATAATGCAATACTCCATACTGACAAGTGCATATAGTAGTTAATGCTGTGACCATTGTTTAAGGCAGACAGCGCGTGTTAAACGGTTTCCATTTAAGTGTTTGACCTTTCTAACTAACGAGTAACTAAGTAACTGGTTGAGAGAGTCTTAGTGTCGTGTTTCTTTATCTGTCGTCAGTCACTCCACTGTACTGTACGA